ACATGAAAAACAAGAACAAGAGAGATAATAACAAAAGTATGATAAACAAGAGTCTTACACGTAAACAACAATAAAGATTATAAGGTATCAGTAAAGATGATAAACAATAATAATGATGATAATCAATAATAAAGATGATAGACAATAATAAAGAGAGTAAAGAAGTGCGAACAGTGAGGCAGGAGAGGCAGTTCAGATGCCTCTAAGAGGCATCTGAATGTCTTAGTCTGGCTTTCTCGCGGCCCCAGCATCGCGGTTCGTGCCTCGCGGCTCCAGCATCGCGGTTCGTGCCTCGCGGCTCCAGCATCGCGGTTCGTGCCTCGCGGCTCCAGCATCGCGGTTCGTGCCTCGCGGCTCCAGCATCGCGGTTCGTGCCTCGCGGCTCCAGCATCGCGGTTCGTGCCTCGCGGCTCCAGCCATCGCGGTTCGTGCCTCGCGGCCCCAGCATCGCGGTTCGTGCCTCGCGGCTCCAGCATCGCGGTTCGTGCCTCGCGGCTCCAGCATCGCGGTTCGTGCCTCGCGGCTCCAGCATCGCGGTTCGTGCCTCGCGGTTTCCAGCATCGCGGTTCGTGCCTCGCGGCTCCAGCATCGCGGTTCGTGCCTCGCGGCTCCAGCATCGCGGTTCGTGCCTCGCGGCCCCAGCATCGCGGTTCGTGCCTCGCGGCTCCAGCATCGCGGTTTCGTGCCTCGCGGCTCCAGCATCGCGGTTCGTGCCTCGCGGCTCCAGCATCGCGGTTCGTGCCTCGCGGCTCCAGCATCGCGGTTCGTGCCTCGCGGCCCCAGCATCGCGGTTCGTGCCTCGCGGCCCCAGCATCGCGGTTCGTGCCTCGCGGCTCCAGCATCGCGGTTCGTACTCCAGGATTCGCGGTTCTGGCTTCGGGACTTGGACTTTGCGACTCTGGTAGTACGGGTCTGAATTCGCTACTCCAGCATATAGTAACTCCAGCCTCGTAACTCCAGTATAGTGACTCCAGCCTCTTAACTCCAGAATATTAACTCCAGCCTCGTAACTCCAGTATAGTGACTCCAGCCTCGAAACTCCAGTATAGTGACTCCAGCCTCGTAACTCCAGAATATTAACTCCAGCCTCGTAACTCCAGTATAGTGACTCCAGCCTCTTAACTCCAGAATATTAACTCCAGCCTCGTAACTCCAGTATAGTGACTCCAGCCTCGAAACTCCAGTATAGTGACTCCAGCCTCGTAACTCCAGTATAGTGACTCCAGCCTCTTAACTCCAGAATATTAACTCCATGCCTCGTAACTCCAGTATAGTGACTCCAGCCTCGAAACTCCAGTATAGTGACTCCAGCCTCGTAACTCCAGTATAGTGACTCCAGCCTCTTAACTCCAGTATAGTAACTCCAGCCTCTTAACTCCAGTATAGTAACTCCAGCCTCTTAACTCCAGTATAGTGACTCCAGCCTCTTAACTCCAGTATAGCAACTCCAGCCTCTTAACTCCAGGATAGTAACTCCAGCCTCATAACTCCAGCCTCGTAACTCCAGTATAGTAACTCCAGCCTCTTAACTCCTGTATATTAACTCCATCCTCGTAACTCCAGTATAGTAAATCCAGCCTCGTAATTCCAGCATAGTAACTCCAGCATCGTAACTCCAGTATAGTAACTATAGCCTCTTAACTCCAGAATAGTAACTTCAGCCTCGTAACTCCAGTATAGTACCTCCAGTCTCTTAACTCCAGGATAGTGACTCCAGCCTCTTAACTCCAGAATAGTAACTCCAGCCTCGTAACTCCAGTACAGTAACTCCAGCCACTTAACTCCAGAATAGTAACTCCAGCCTCGTAACTCCAGTATAGTAACTCCAGCCTCTTAACTCCAGTATAGTAACTCCAGTCTCTTAACTCCAGAATAGTAACTCCAGCCTCGTAACTCCAGTATAGTAACTCCAGCCTCTTAACTCCAGTATATTAACTCCATCCTCGTAACTCCAGTATAGTAAATCCAGCCTCGTAATTCCAGCATAGTAACTCCAGCCTCGTAACTCCAGTATAGTAACTATAGCCTCTTAACTCCAGAATAGTAACTTCAGCCTCGTAACTCCAGTATAGTACCTCCAGTCTCTTAACTCCAGGATAGTGACTCCAGCCTCGTAACTCCAGTACAGTAACTCCAGCCACTTAACTCCAGAATAGTAACTCCAGCCTCGTAACTCCAGTATAGTAACTCCAGCCTCTTAACTCCAGGATAGTAACTCCAGCCTCGTAACTCCAGTATAGTAACTCCAGTCTCTTAACTTCAGAATAGTAACTCCAGCCTCGTAACTCCAGTATAGTAACTCCAGCCTTTTAATTCCAGAATAGTAACTCCAGCCTCGTAACTCCAGTATAGTAACTCCAGCCTCTTAACTCCAGAATAGTAACTCCAGTCTCGTAACTCCAGTATAGTGACTCCACCCACTTAACTCCAGAATAGTAACTCCAGCCTCGTAACTCCAGTATAGTAATTCCAGCCTCTTAACTCCAGCCTCGTAACTCCAGTATAGTAACTCCAGCCTCTTAACTCTAGAATAGTAACTCCAGCCTCGTAACTCCAGTATAGTAACTCCAGTCTCTTAACTCCAGAATAGTAACTCCAGCCTCGTAACTCAGTATAGTAACTCCAGCCTCTTAACTCCAGAATAGTAACTTCAGCCTCGTAACTCCAGTATAGTAACTCCAGCCTCTTAACTCCAGAATAGTGACTCCATCCTCTTAACTCCAGAATAGTAACTCCAGCCTCGTAACTCCAGTATAGTAACTCCAGCCTCTTAACTCCAGAATAGTAACTTCAGCCTCGTAACTCCAGCCTCTTAACTCCAGAATAGTGACTCCAGCCTCTTAACTCCAGTATAGTAACTCCAGCCTCTTAACTCCAGAATAGTGACTCCATCCTCTTAACTCCAGAATAGTAACTCCAGCCTCGTAACTCCAGTATAGTAACTCCAGCCTCTTAACTCCAGAATAGTAACTTCAGCCTCGTAACTCCAGTATAGTAACTCCAGAATAGTGACTCCAGCCTCTTAACTCCAGAATAGTGACTCCAGCCTCTTAACTCCAGAATAGTGACTCCAGCCTCTTAACTCCAGAATAGTAACTTCAGCCTCGTAACTCCAGTATAGTAACTCCAGCCTCTTAACTCCAGAATAGTGACTCCATCCTCTTAACTCCAGAATAGTGACTCCTGCCTCGTAACTCCAGCCTCGTAACTCCAGCCTCGTAACTCCAGAATAGTAACTCCAGCCTCCAGGTGATACAAACAGCGCGGGACCCAGGAACTACCCCGGCCTATCTGACCATAATGACATATTTTTAAAAGAATTTAAAATTATAACATTTGAAAAGAGAGGAAAGTTGAAGACGGTTATGGCGATACAGTAGTGTTGATACAGTAGTGTTGATACAGTAGTGTTGATACAGTAGTGTTGATACAGTAGTGTTGATACAGTAGTGTTGATACAGTAGTGTTGATACAGTAGTGTTGATACAGTAGTGTTTGATACAGTAGTGTTGAACAGTAGTGTTGATACAGTAGTGTTGATACAGTAGTGTTGATACAGTAGTGTTGATACAGTAGTGTTGATACAGTAGTGTTGATACAGTAGTGTTGATACAGTAGTGTTGATACAGTAGTGTTGATACAGTAGTGTTGATACAGTAGTGTTGATACAGTAGTGTTGATACAGTAGTGTTGATACAGTAGTGTTGATACAGTAGTGTTGATACAGTAGTGTTGATACAGTAGTGTTGATACAGTAGTGTTGATACAGTAGTGTTGATACAGTAGTGTTGATACAGTAGTGTTGATACAGTAGTGTTGATACAGTAGTGTTGATTACAGTAGTGTTGATACAGTAGTGTTGATACAGTAGTGTTGATACAGTAGTGTTGATACAGTAGTGTTTGATACAGCAGTGTTGATACAGTAGTGTTGATACAGTAGTGTTGATACAGTAGTGTTGATACAGTAGTGTTGATACAGTAGTGTTGATACAGTAGTGTTGATACAGTAGTGTTGATACAGTAGTGTTGATACAGTAGTGTTGATACAGTAGTGTTGATACAGTAGTGTTGATACAGTAGTGTTGATACAGTAGTGTTGATACAGTAGTGTTGATACAGCAGTGTTGATACAGTAGTGTTGATACAGTAGTGTTGATACAGTAGTGTTGATACAGTAGTGTTGATACAGTAGTGTTGATACAGTAGTGTTGATACAGTAGTGTTGATACAGTAGTGTTGATACAGTAGTGTTGATACAGTAGTGTTGATACAGTAGTGTTGATACAGTAGTGTTGATACAGTAGTGTTGATACAGTAGTGTTGATACAGCAGTGTTGATACAGTAGTGTTGATACAGTAGTGTTGATACAGTAGTGTTGATACAGTAGTGTTGATACAGTAGTGTTGATACAGTAGTGTTGATACAGTAGTGTTGATACAGTAGTGTTGATACAGTAGTGTTGATACAGTAGTGTTGATACAGTAGTGTTGATACAGTAGTGTTGATACAGTAGTGTTGATACAGTAGTGTTGATACAGTAGTGTTGATACAGTAGTGTTGATACAGTAGTAACGACAATACAGCAACACTTTAAGACTGTCAGAAGAATGAAAGATGTCGTCTTGTAGTGTGATAAATGTAGGTGTTGTGGCCAGTGTTGTGGCCAGTGTTGTGGCCAGTGTTGTGGCCAGTGTTGTGGCCAGTGTTGTGGCCAGTGTTGTGGCCAGTGTTGTGGCCAGTGTTGTGGCCAGTGTTGTGGCCAGTGTTGTGGCCAGTGTTGTGGCCAGTGTTGTGGCCAGTGTTGTGGCCAGTGTTGTGGCCAGTGTTGTGGCCAGTGTTGTGGCCAGTGTTGTGGCCAGTGTTGTGGCCAGTGTTGTGGCCAGTGTTGTGGCCAGTGTTGTGGCCAGTGTTGTGGCCAGTGTTGTGGCCATGTTGTGGCCAGTGTTGTGGCCAGTGTTGTGGCCAGTGTTGTGGCCAGTGTTGTGGCCAGTGTTGTGGCCAGTGTTGTGGCCAGTGTTGTGGCCAGTGTTGTGGCCAGTGTTGTGGCCAGTGTTGTGGCCAGTGTTGTGGCCAGTGTTGTGGCAGTTTTGTGGCCAGTGTCGTGGCCAGTGTTGTGGCCAGTGTTGTGGCCAGTGTTGTGGCCAGTGTTGTGGCCAGTGTCGTGGCCAGTGTTGTGGCCATTGTCGTGGCCAGTGTCGTGGCCAGTGTCGTGGCCAGTGTCGTGGCTAGTGTCATGGCCAGTGTCGTGGCCAGTGTCGTGGCCAGTGTCGTGGCTAGTGTCATGGCCAGTGTTGTGGCCAGTGTGGTCGTTTCTCTCCCTTCAGTGTCGTCGACAAGGCTTAAGTCGTTTCTTTGTGTCGTTGCTAAGCCTTGTACAAGTCGTCTCCTCCCTGGTGGCTGATGTAGGAGGGAGGGTCGTCATGCAGGAGGCGACGACAGGAACCACGACAACGAGGCATTACTGGAAGTAACCATTGGACTGTGTTGATGACGACAACTGTGACGACCTCTGACGAAGACGACGACTAAGGACGGCCAGCTGGGGAGTAAATTATACTATTATTATTAGTAGTAGTTGTAGTAGTAGTAGCAGCAGCAGTAGTAGTAGTAGTAGTAGTAGTAGTAGTAGTAGTAGTAGTAGTAGTAGTAGTGGTAGTAGTAGTAGTAGCAGCAGCAGCAGCAGCAGCAGCAGCAGCAGTAGTAGTAGTAGTAGTAGTAGTAGTAGTGGTAGTAGTAGTAGCAGCAGCAGCAGCAGCAGCAGCAGTAGTAGTAGTAGTAGTAGTAGTAGTAGTAGTAGTAGTAGTATAGTAGTAGTAGTGGTAGTAGTAGTAGTAGCAGCAGCAGCAGCAGCAGCAGCAGCAGCAGCAGCAGCAGCAGTAGTAGTAGTAGTAGTAGTAGTAGTAGTAGTTGTAGTAGTAGTAGTAGCAGCAGCAGCAGCAGCAGCAGCAGCAGCAGCAGCAGTAGTAGTAGTAGTAGTAGTAGTAGTAGTGGTAGTAGTAGTAGCAGCAGCAGGAGCAGCAGCAGGAGCAGCAGCAGCAGCAGCAGCAGCAGCAGCAGCAGTAGTAGTAGTAGTAGTAGTAGTAGTAGTTGTAGTAGTAGTAGCAGCAGCAGCAGCAGCAGCAGCAGCAGCAGCAGCAGCACAGGTAGTAGTAGTAGTAGTAGTAGTAGTAGTAGTAGTAGTAGTAGTAGTGGTTAGTAGTAGTAGCAGCAGCAGCAGCAGCAGCAGCAGCAGCAGCAGCAGCAGCAGCAGCAGCAGCAGCAGTAGTAGTAGTAGTATAGTAGTAGTAGTAGTAGTTGTAGTAGTATAGTAGCAGCAGCAGAGCAGCAGCAGCAGCAGCAGCAGCAGCAGCAGTAGTAGTAGTAGTAGTAGTAGTAGTAGTATATGTGTAGTAGTAGTAGGGTAGCAGAGTCAACACAGCTGCAGCAGCACATGAGTAGTAGTAGTAGTAGTAGTATAGTAGTAGTAGTTGTAGTATTAGTAGAGCAGCAGCAGCAGTAGCAGCAGCAGCAGCAGCATGAGAGTATGTAGTAGTAGTAGTAGTAGTAGTATGTAGTAGTATGTGTAGTAGTAGTAGTAGCAGGCAAGCGCAGCGCAGCAGCCAGGCACTGTAGTAGTAGTAGTAGTGTAGTAGTAGTAGTGCAGCAACGTCAGCAGCAGCAGCAGACAGCTAGTAGTAGTAAGTAGTAGTAGTAGTAGTAGTAGTAGTAGTAGTATTAGTAGCAGCAGCAGGCAGCAGCAGCACAGAGTTGATAGTAGTAGAGTAGTAGTAGTAGTAGTAGTAGTATAGTTAGTAGTAGTAGTAGTAGTAGTAGTGTAGAGCAGCACAGAGTAGTAGTAGAGTAGTAGTAGTTGTAGTAGTAGTATGTTAGTATAGTAGTAGTAGTAGTAGTAGAGTAGAGACAGCAGCAGCTAGTAGAGTAGTAGTATTAGTAGTAGTAGTAGTAGTAGTGGTAGTAGTAGTAGTAAGAAAGTAGTAGTAGTAGTAGTATGTAGTAGTAGTAGTAGTAGTAGTAGTAGTAGTGTAGTAGTAGTATGGTAGTAGTAGTAGAGTAGTAGTAGTGAGTAGTAGTATAGTAGTAGTAGTAGTAGTAGTAGTAGTGGTAGTAGTGTAGTAGTAGTTAGTAGTAGTAGTAGTAGTAGTAGAGAAGTAAGTGAGTAGTAGTATAGTAGTAGTAGTAGTAGTTGTTGTAGTAGTAGTAGTAGAGAGTGGTAGTAGTAGTAGTAGTAGTATAGTAGTAGTAGTAGTAGTGTAGTAGTAGTAGAGGTAGTAGTAGTAGTAGGTAGTAGAAGTAGTGAGTTAGTAGTAGTAGTAGTAGTAGAGTAGTAGTAGTAGTATGTAGTAGTAGTAGTAGTAGTATGTAGAGTAGTGGGTAGTGAGGTATAGTAGTAGTAGTAGTAGTAGTAGTAGTGTAGTAGTGTAGTAGTAGTAGTAGTAGTAGTAGTAGTATAGTAGTAGTAGTAGTAGTAGTAGTAGTAGTAGTAGTAGTAGTAGTAGTAGTAGTAGTGGTAGTTAGTAGTAGTAGTAGTAGTAGTAGTAGTAGTGGTAGTGGTAGTAGTAGTAGTAGTAGTAGGTAGTGGTAGTGTAGTAGTAGTAGATAGTAGTAGTAAGTAGTAGTAGTAGTAGGTAGTAGTAGTTAGTATAGTAGTAGTAGTAGTAGTAGTAGTAGTGGTAGTAGTAGTAGTAGTAGTAGTAGTAGTAGTAGTAGTAGTAGTAGTAGTAGTAGTAGTGGTAGTAGTAGTAGTAGTAGTGGTTAGTAGTAGTAGTATAGTAGTAGTAGTAGTAGTAGTAGTGGTAGGTAGTAGTAGTAGTAGTAGTAGTAGTAGTAGTAGTAGTGGTAGTGGTAGTAGTAGTAGTAGTAGTAGTAGTAGTAGTAGTAGTAGTGGTAGTAGTAGTAGTAGTAGTAGTAGTAGTAAGTAGTAGTAGTGGTAGTAGTAGTAGTAGTTATAGTAGTAGTAGTAGTAGTAGTAGGTAGTAGTATAGTAGTAGTGTAGTGGTAGGGTAGTAGTAGTAGTAGTAGTAGTAGTAGTAGTAGTGGTAGTGGTAGTAGTAGTAGTAGTAGTAGTAGTAGTAGTAGTAGTAGTAGTGGTAGTGGTAGTAGTAGTAGTTAGTAGTAGTAGTTTAGTAGTAGTGTGGTAGTGGTAGTAGTAGTAGTAGTGTAGTAGTATAGTAGTAGTAGTAGTAGTAGTGTAAGTAGTAGTGGTAGTGGTAGTGGTAGTAGTAGTAGTAGTAGTAGTAGTAGTAGTAGTAGTAGTAGTAGTAGTAGCAGTAGAGAGAGAGAGAGAATTAACCTAGCAATTATCCAGACATATTTCTCACCTCAACTAATAAGAATCTCACTCCACGTATTCCTGTCTCTCTCTTATTGTTATTTATGGCCTAATTAGAGCTAGCTCTAATTTCTTTGTGGTTATGTCGGGGGTGTTATATAGGTCCATAAACACTTGTTGGGGAGACGGAGGAGACGAAAGAAAGGGAGAGAGAAGAGCAAAGGATGCGGGGGGTGAGAGAAACGGGAAGCACAGGGGGAAAACAGGGAAAAACAACGGAAAAAACTGGAAGAATAAAAAAGGAGAAAAACAGGAAAATGCCCAGGAGCTGTAGGCCAGGCTATAGCTCCTGGGTCACAGTCCCTGTGATACAGTTCCTGGGTTACAGCTCCTGGGCTACAGCTGCTGGGCTACAACTTCTAGATTACAGCTCTTGGGATACAGCTGCTTGGCTACAGCTGTTGGGCTACAACTGCTGGGCTACACCTGCTGGGCTACAGCTCCTGGGCTAGACTAAAGAGGAGTGTTGGACAAACGTGTTTATATTGGTTATGATGGCTGGTATTTGTGAGAAAATTAATTAACCAGGATGAAAAATTCTTTTCTTTGTACTTATTGAAGGAGGAAGAGGAGGAGGAGGAGAAGAGGAAGAGGAGGAGGAGGAGGAGGAGGAGAGGAAGAGGAGGAGGAGGAGGAGGAGGAGAGGAAGATGATGAATGAGTAATGACGCTATGCACACCGTCATCATCATCTTTCTCTCTCTCTCTCTCTCTCTCTCTCCCTTTCTCTCTCTCTCTCTCCCTTTCTCTCTCTCTCTCTCTCTCTCTCTCTCTCTCTCTCTCTCTCTCTCTCTCTCTCTCTCTCTCTCTCTCTCTCTCTCTCTCTCTCTCTCTCTCTCAGCTCCCGGGTAATAGAAGATAGACAGGGTTTGATCCGAGGAAAGGAGAAGAGGGTGAAAAAGTTTTATTTGTATAACACAAATCCGAAAAAAAATCCATTGAAATATAAAAAGTCTTGTTGTTAGAACTAGAAAGACTTAAAAAAGTCTGATTCTGTAAAAGAATGATTGATATAAACCATACCTCGGCAGGGATAGAACCCGCGGTCAGAGTCTCAAAACTCCAGCCCGTCGCGTTAGCCACTAGACCAGCTAGCCACAATAAGAGATCGTCACGGCCACGCTAGCTGGAGATTCGTCTGTAAAAACTTGCATTTGTGGTCGCAGTGGTGCTTGTGCTAACCTTCCTATGGTGTAGGAATATACCTAGTTGGACGAATCTTATTGTGGCTAGCTGGTCTAGTGGCTAACGCGACGGTCTGGAGTTTTGAGACTCTCTGACCGCGGGTTCAATCCCAGCCGAGGTATGGTTTGTTTGCAATCGTGTCATTACGATTTCGTGAGTCATGTTGACACTGTTGTTGACATGAACAGTGAAAGTCTTATTTATGTGACTGAGACAATCCACATGAGAGAAAGTCTGAAACAATCCACAGAAAGTCTTACCCAGTTCCGCACATTAGCGACAATTTCCCTGTTGGTGAAGGCGTCTGGCATGTCTTGGAGAGGCAGTGGCAGGTCAGACCTGCCGTCCAGCTGCTCCTGCAGCTGTGTCTCGCCAGGGTAGAGTGCAGCAGCATCCACCTGCTGCTGTACATACTGCTGTTCCCCGTCTCTCTTGCCGTGGGCACCGAAGCAGGAGTGCCCGAACTGCGAGCAGCTGCCTGAGGAACACAGTAAAATAAGGCAAAACGAAGAGGAATAAGATAAATGGTACAGAGAACCCATAAGTTGATAAATTAGACACATGTACAACACCTGGGTATCTGTGATTACATGAACGTTGATACGTGTTTATGAAGCAACTTGTAATGTGAATAGACTGATGTTGTAGTAGCCAGGCTTAGACTTGGTTACAAGTACTTCTGGTGGTCTGATGTTGTAGTAACCAGTCTTAGACTTGGTTACAAGTACTTCTGGTAGTATGATGTTGTAGTAGCCAGTCTTAGACTTGGTTACAAGTACTTCTGGTAGTCTGATGTTGTAGTAGCCAGTCTTAGACTTGGTTACAAGTACTTCTGGTAGTCTGATGTTGTAGTAGCCAGGCTTAGACTTGGTTACAAGTACTTCTGGTGGTCTGATGTTGTAGTAACCAGTCTTAGACTTGGTTACAAGTACTTCTGGTAGTCTGATGTTGTAGTAGCCAGTCTTAGACTTGGTTACAAGTACTTCTGGTGGTCTGATGTTGTAGTAGCCAGACTTAGACTTGGTTACAAGTACTTCTGGTAGTCTGATGTTGTAGTAGCCAGCTTAGACTTGGTTTACAAGTACTTCTGGTGGTCTGATGTTGTAGTAGCCAGGCTTAGACTTGGTTACAAGTACTTCTGGTGGTCTGATATTGTAGTAGCCAGGCTTAGACTTGGTTACAAGTACATCTGGTGGTCTGATGTTGTAGTAGCCAGTCTTAAACTTGGTTACAAGTACTTCTGGTGGTCTGATGTTGTAGTAGCCAGGCTTAGACTTGGTTACAAGTACTTCTGGTAGTCTGATGTTGTAGTAACCAGTCTTAGACTTGGTTACAAGTACTTCTGGTAGTCTGATATTGTAGTAGCGAGTCTTAGACTTGGTTACAAGTACTTCTGGTAGTCTGATGTTGTAGTAGCCAGTCTTAGACTTGGTTACAAGTACTTCTGGTAGTCTGATGTTGAAGTAGCCAGTCTTAGACTTGGTTACAAGTACTTCTGGTGGTTTGATGTTGTAGTAACCAGTCTTAGACTTGGTTACAAGTACTTCTGGTGGTCTGATGTTGTAGTAGCCAGTCTTAGACTTGGTTACAAGTACTTCTGGTAGTCTGATGTTGTAGTAACCAGTCTTAGACTTGGTTACAAGTACTTCTGGTAGTCTGATGTTGTAGTAGCCAGGCTTAGACTTGGTTACAAGTACTTCTGGCAGTCTGATGTTGTAGTAACCAGTCTTAGACTTGGTTACAAGTACTTCTGGTAGTCTGATGTTGTAGTAACCAGTCTTAGACTTGGTTACAAGTACTTCTGGTAGTCTGATGTTGTAGTAACCAGTCTTAGACTTGGTTACAAGTACTTCTGGTAGTCTGATGTTGTTAGTAGCAGTCTTAGACTTGGTTACAAGTACTTCTGGTAGTCTGATGTTGTAGTAGCCAGTCTTAGACTTGGTTACAAGTACTTCTGGTAGTCTGATGTTGTAGTAGCCAGTCTTAGACTTGGTTACAAGTACTTCTGGTGGTCTGATGTTGTAGTAACCAGTCTTAGACTTGGTTACAAGTACTTCTCTGGTAGTCTGATGTTGTAGTAACCAGTCTTAGACTTGGTTACAAGTACTTCTGGTAGTCTGATGTTGTAGTACCAGTCTTAGACTGGTTACAAGTACTTCTGGTAGTCTGATATTGTAGTAGCCAGTCTTAGACTTGGTTACAAGTACTTCTGGTAGTCTGATGGTGTAGTAGCCAGGCTTAGACTTGGTTACAAGTACTTCTGGTATCTGATGTTGTAGTAACCAGTCTTAGACTTGGTTACAAGTACTTCTGGTAGTCTGATGTAGTAGTAACCAGTCTTAGACTTGGTTACAAGTATCTCTGGTAGTCTGATGTTGTAGTAACCCAGTCTTAGACTTGGTTACCAGTACTTCTGGTAGTCTGATGTTGTAGTAACCAGTCTTAGACTTGGTTACAAGTACTTCTGGTAGTCTGATGTTGTAGTAACCAGTGTTAGACTTGGTTACCAGTACTTCTGGTAGTCTGATGTTTGTAGTAACCAGTCTTAGACTTGGTTACAAGTACTTCTGGTAGTCTGATGTTGTAGTAGCCAGGCTTAGACTTGGTTACAAGTACTTCTGGTAGTCTGATGTTGTAGTAACCAGTCTTAGACTTGGTTACAAGTACTTCTGGTAGTCTGATGTAGTAGTAACACCATCTTAGACTTGGTTACAAGTACTTCTGGTAGTCTGATGTTGTAGTAACCAGTCTTAGACTTGGTTACAAGTACTTCTGGTAGTCTGATGTTGTAGTAACCAGTCTTAGACTTGGTTACCAGTACTTCTGGTAGTCTGATGTTGTAGTAACCAGTCTTAGACTTGGTTACAAGTACTTCTGGTAGTCTGATGTTGTAGTAACCAGTGTTAGACTTGGTTACCAGTACTTCTGGTAGTCTGATGTTGTAGTAACCAGTCTTAGACTTGGTTACAAGTACTTCTGGTAGTCTGATGTTGTAGTAGCGAGGCTTAGGCTTGGTTACAAGTACTTCTGGTAGTCTGATGTTGTGGTAGCCAGGCTTAGACTTGGTTACAAGTACTTCTGGTAGTCTGATGTTGTAGTAGCCAGTCTTAGACTTGGTTACAAGTACTTCTTGTAGTCTGATGTTGTAGTAGCCAGTCTTAGACTTGGTTACAAGTACTTCTGGTAGTCTGATGTTGTAGTAGCCAGTCTTAGACTTGGTTTCAAGTACTTCTGGTAGTCTGATGTTGTAGTAGCCAGTCTTAGACTTGGTTACAAGTACTTCTGGTGGTCTGATGTTGTAGTAGCCAGTCTTAGACTTGGTTACAAGTACTTCTGGTAGTCCTGATGTTGTAGTAACCAGTCTTAGACTTGGTTACAAGTACTTCTGGTAGTCTGATGTTGTAGTAACCAGTCTTAGACTTGGTTACAAGTACTTCTGGTAGTCTGATGTTGTAGTAGCCAGTCTTAGACTTGGTTACAAGTACTTCTGGTAGTCTGATGTTGTAGTAGCCAGTCTTAGACTTGGTTACAAGTACTTCTGGTAGTCTGATGTTGTAGTAGCCAGTCTTAGACTTGGTTACAAGTACTTCTGGTAGTCTGATGTTGTAGTAGCCAGTCTTAGACTTGGTTACAAGTACTTCTGGTGGTCTGATGTTGTAGTAACCAGTCTTAGACTTGGTTACAAGTACTTCTGGTAGTCTGATGTTGTAGTAACCAGTCTTAGACTTGGTTACAAGTACTTCTGGTAGTCTGATGTTGTAGTAACCAGTCTTAGACTTGGTTACAAGTACTGCTGGTAGTCTGATGTTGTAGTAGCCAGGCTTAGACTTGGTTACAAGTACTTCTGGCAGTTTGGCAGACACACAGATGATGATCAAACTAAATGCAAATTATATGGCTAGGTATATGGTCACTGTCTTGAACACCATGTGCTTAATTGTCCACTTATTGAGGAATACAGAGACAGACAGTATAATAACCTATGTGACATGTCAAGATATTTTATTAATATACCAGATATATTAAGCAAATTTCCTGAATTTGCTTGTAACAGATTAGTGAACTATAGATATATCTCCAAATGTACTCCTGTTAACCCTTTTTTGGGGCCTAGTTCCTAGGCCTATTTTGTATGCATATGCTCTTGCGCTACCATCCACAGGATGAATATGGGGCGCACAATAAACTAGCCACATCGGTGGCAAAATCTAAGAAATCTCTTGGGTATCTTTACTGGGGAAATGTTTCGCCACACAGTGGCATTCTTCAGTCCAATGCAAAGAAGAATGGTGAGGATCAAATGGAGTTTGGGCTAATCAGTCCCTTATTCTTCATGGACTGATTACATCGGTTCCAGGCTGAGGGACTGATGTGAAGACGATGTCATCAGTCCATTACCCTTGAAGAAGTAGTTTTAAGGGACTGACAACCACAGAACACAGTCACTGACAATAACCACAGAACACAGTCACTGATAATAACCACAGAACAGTCACTGACAATGACAGTCACATCCGATCTCAGGAAGACTGTAGCTCCAATTCCCAGGATCAAGAACCCATCATTACCACGAGAGCACAGACCACCTTCAGTAACCAGCAATCAACAATCTCGGATGCGCTAATCACCCGCCGGATGACATAATCTCCCGTCACATAATAAGCCTGTATGAATCTCCGGTCACGACTGATTGTGGAGGTGGAATCACTAATGAGGTGGTTAATTGGTCATTAACCGCGTTAAGGTGACGTTATTAACCCCCAATCATAGACCAGGGAACTGATGGGGGGTTCCAGGACGATGACAGGAAGACAGTACAGTGACAGTACCCAGTGACAGGATATATATATAAATATATACATACATACATATATATATATATTATATATATATATATATATATATATATATTATATATATATATATATATAATATATATAATATGTATATATTATATATATATAATATATATATATATATATATATATAAATATATATATATATATATATATATATATATATATATATATATATATATATATATATATAATATATGTCGTGCCGATAGGCAGAACTTGCGATCTTGGCTTAAATAGCAACGCTCATCTTGCCATATAGGACAAGTGAAAATTTGTGTATGCAATAATTTCGCCAAAATCATTCTGAACCTAACGAAAAAAATATATTTCACTGGGTTGTTTAGTATTAAATCATTGTAAACAAATCTAAAATATATTTAGTTGGGTTAGGCTAAAATAAATTGTTCTTGTTATAATAAGGTTAGGTAAGTTTTCTAAGATTCTTTTGGTGTAAAATTAAAAATTTTTTGTATTAACATTAAATGAAAAAAATATATCTTTAAACGTATAAGAGAAAATTTCAGAAAGGACATAATTTTAAATGAGTTCTTGCTAATTGACCAGTTTTTACATATTCGGCCCCACACACACACACACACACATATATAATATATATATATATATATATATATATATATATAAAATATATATATATATATATATATATATATATATATATATATAATATATATAT